TCCTGCTGATTTATGAACAATTTTTTGGATTTAAAGATCCAATTATGGCAAAACTAATCTAAGAGTATTTGTGTTGTAGTTACTTAACTATATATCTTGGTCTTGTCTGGAGACTCTCTCAATTGTTGCCTGCTGGAAGCAAGCCTCATGGCAGACACAGAATAGTCATGGATGTGACTTCCCTGCTCCTCCACATTCTCACATAGTCTACCTGTCGCTTCTCTTTGTGTCTTCCACACTATCCTTTTCTCTGGTAAGGAAAAGTTGAAGGAAATCAGTGTTTCTTCCACCAATAGACTAGAGATGATGGACTGTCCTTTCTCTGTTTAAGACCATATGTTTTTGGCCTTTTGGCCAGGAACGTTTAGCACTCTTGTCTGTGGTTGTGCAAAAGGATAGAGACGGCAGGAGGTAACATGAGGAATGGTTCTGCTCATCACTGCCGAGCCATCTTCTGTGCATTTTTCATTTCTTTCTTCTGTGTTGTGCAGCAATAGGGACATTAATGGGCTCAAGTTGCACCGGGGGAGGTTTAGATTGGATGTTTGGAAGAATTTCTTTACTGGAAGAGTGGTGAGGCATTGGAAGAGGCTTCCCAGGGAGGTTGTGGACTTACCATCCCTGGAGGTGTTCAAAAAATGTGTATATGTGGCACTTCAGGACATGGTTTAACGGTCATGGCAGTGCTGCGTGATGGTTGGACTTGATCTTAGAGGTCTTTTCCAGCCTTAATGATTCTATGATTCTGTGCTTCAGCTCATCATTTGCTGCTGTTCTGTCCATTAATACAGGCACTTGATTTCATTTGCTTATAGTCACCATGTCTTTGAATACTTGCATCAAACAGTCATTCACCCCCAACCCTCCTAAAGCAACTTTGTGGTACTCAGCAATTGCAAATTAAAGCGGAAAGTGTCCTTTGGTGCTTTGATTTTCCGTAGTTGCAATGTCTGGGGAAATACTGCAATAGAAAAATTCTGTGTTGAGGTGATTCTAGAAAACATGTTCACATTAGAAATCCCCAAACTGTACTTTATTTAAAAATGTTTTAATGAGCTGCCATAGTCAGTACATTAATCTGTTAAAGAGAAGTTCATGGGACTACATTTCAAATCACAGAGTGGAATTGAGGGAATGTGTTAGAGGTGACATGCTAGGTTTTCATGGTAGAAGGTATGGGTTTGTTCCCTCGTGCCTTTCCCAATATTTTGTGGTGGGAAGCCATTGCAAACTCTATCATCGTATAATAAGAATGAAGGAAATTCTTAAATAAGGAAGTAATTGTGATATTCTTTAGCAATCATAGAATTGTCTTTATACTTCTGAGGAAGATACTACAGCAAAAGAGACTTGTGAACAACCTCAAGTATTGTCCCGTTATGAACAGAAGAACAGAGTCAGGAAACTGAGATTTCCTGGTGAGTTGTGCCTGGCTGAAGATTATATTTCCCATTCTGAGGAATGTCTGTGAGAACATCTCTGTTTTTGTTGTCACTAGGTTTGCGCTAGCATTGAGGAGCCGTAGGCCTGTGGTGGCATCTTCGACATCTTCATTGGAACCGTACACAAAGAATGCCACAGAAAAGACGTCTGGAAGAGTCTGTAGTCTAAACAGCCAGACAGTAGCACACAAGGAGAGACTGCGAATGTCCTGGTTAACATAACAGATTCTGATCTCAAAGTTTGCACCATAACCATTGCCAGATAACTGACAGCCATTGTGGCACAGCAGAATTTGAGGAAAGGATTTGAAGAAAATGATGTCTCTTATTTCACCCATTATGTCTGCAAGCCAACCTAGTCACATCTTCCTTCGTTTTAATGTTCTTATTCTCTTCCTCAGAGACACTTGGCACAGTCATTTTCTGTACTGCAGTAATTTATAAGTTCTCAAATACAAGTTCTCTCAGGGTATGGACTTCATGAGGGTGATAACACCTTCTTGATTGCTGATCTTCTTAGTTCCTTGGTAGTAACTTGTGACATTGCATTCCTGTGATATGGCCAGAACTGGATTTCAGCTGCTTTTAAAATATTACACATTAGACAGTAATGAATGGGTGAAAAGATCCTCTGTGAATCTTTACAATGAAGAGGAGCAAAAAAAGTATCAAAGATCTGTTTTGATGTTATAGTTTTAGGCAATAATGTTAAGGAAAGCTAAATTAAGGAAGAATATGTTAAACAACTGTTAAGAGCATGAGCCAAATCCAAATGTTGCTCTTTTAAACTTTGATCAATTTTCTGTTCCATACTTGAAGGAGTTATGGAATGGCAGTTTTGGAGAGGTAGAGGATTTGCCTGAGCCTGTAGGTCTCATCCTGTAGGCTTGTATAATTCTAGACAGTATGAAGATGAGAAATAAAAGACTGAGGAAAACAGCAAGACCCCCCAAAAAAGAAAATGAATGCAAGCACAAGAAACATGCAGGCAGGAGTGATTAGATTGTTTAGATTCCTTAATTCAACTTCTACTAAGTAGGCAGTACTGCTCAAAATTTTTGGCACCTGTTCTTGGAATTCCACCTATATCCATATAGGTGATATATTCATCTAATTCCTCATGTAGTGAATGGTGAAGAGAATTTCAGAAGATGAAAAGTAGGCTTTTTTAGGTTTATCCTTGTGTAGTTGGAGAAATTAAATCCCATCACATTTAGCTGAAAAAAAATGAGACAAGTCTATGCCTTGTAAGTGTCACAAATAGAAATAAGTAATCCATTGTCTAAAAAAATCAAAAGAAAATTAGTGACATCATAGAATTGACAGAACTGCATTTAATTTATTAATGCAGCATATAAAAAGGAAGGTTATCTTAAATAGGAAACCCTGAAGATGATATCCACAACTCATATTGATATTGAATTTTGATTGTTTACACATTTCTGCTAGTATTATTTACTCTGTGCAGTGTGATTATCTAAAATAATCATCTAGTTTGTAGTAGTAGTGATTTATAGTTGGAACAGTCTTTGTTGAAGACTGTTACCAAAGTTGTTCTGTTAAACAGGGAAGAATCTGCTTGGCTTTTTTTCCTGTGGGGCATCAATACTGTGTGTAATACTGGAGACAGGAAAATAACTTTCTATACCAATGTCTTTTTAATTTTTTTTCTCATCCTTACATTTGTAATTTTTGGCACCTTGCCCACTGCATAATTCTGCCCACGCAGCTGCAGGAGGTACTTGCGTTTAAACTGTATTTAGCTGACCACTTCCAGTTTCTTGCCTCATCCTAGAAAAGTCTTCTACATGCATTTCTGTTTGGGTCAGTCCTTTTTGCATTTAAATTAGGAAAATGTTTTCACTGCAAACTAAATTTTAGGGAATAAAACCTCACTCATCAACTCGCCTGTGTCTACCTTTTGCTCTCCTGCTCCATCCACTGCAACAGTCAATCTTGTAGGTACTTCTTGTTCTTTTTGTACCTGCAAGACTCAAATTGTATTATGTGTAACTTAACAGCAAGCTAAAAACCTGCTGTTCTTATCATCTTCCCCTTGACTGTGAACAGACCAACCACTTCTTCACCTCTAGCTTTTATATGCTTATCTGTATGATTAAGAACAAATATAGTAGCTGTTTGCTAGGCTGTGGATTCCCTGATGTAGTTGTGCCAAAGAAATAGTTAGGAGTGGTGGTAAGACCATCCATTCTCAAGTGTCGTTCTTGGTCTTGGCTCTAGATCCTATGTGATCACTAGGAAAATACTGGAATTTTAAATCTTCAGCATATGCTACCATAATGAAAATGCATAGGACAAAAGATCTTGAAAAACAAAGTGCTTGGGTTTTGTAGTGGAAGAATTTGTGAGATTTCCATCTTTCTTCTCCTCTGAATAAGGTATATTTTGTTAGTTTTTACACCTTGACTAATTTTAGCTTTTCTGGTATCTCAAAAATAGAATTTGCTCTTCTGCAAAGCATTTTTGTTACTGAGGATGAACATGTAAGACCCCAAAGAGCAAATAGCAAAGCATTTATACCAAGAGGGGACTGTATGTCATTGTCTAGTTTGTACAAATATAACCATATAGCTTTAATCATTTGTATGATCAAGTGATTGAAACATGTTGAACATACATGTTCTGTACATATGTTGCATGAGATTTTCACATACAACATACTAAAATATAGTGTAAGCACATGGAATTTGTCAAGTAGAAAAGAAAAGAAATCCTTTTGTTTTGTTAACATATTAAACAGAGTGAAGAATTATTTCAGCATGAATAAAAGACACTTCCTTTATTATTAAAAGTTGCTATCAAAAGGTTCATCCTTTCAGTCTGGATAACAGCATGATATATGAGTGTTACTACACATGCTGCCGTGCATTTCCCTTTCAAAAGAGGAGATGGCTCCCTGAAGACACTTCCATAATATTGTCCATCAGGGCTGGTACTAGAGGAGACATCCTCTAGTGGGTTTGCTTTTTGTGTGTGTGTGGTGTTGTTTTTTTTTTTTTTGCTATATGTCTGTGAGTGTCTGTGTGCATGAAAGATGTGTTTGTTTTTTTTTTCCCCTGAAAAAGTGACTTTCTAAAACAGCATAATGGGCTTTGGCCTTGTCTCTCTTCTGCCAATTAAAATGCTAGAATTGCCATCAGTTCTGTATTTGAAGTTCCTGTGGGAAATGTATGTTGATGCCATACTCCAAATTGTACAGGTGTAAAGAAAGACACCATATATATGGCACTAAAAATTTGTTGTTAGCCCAATTAATGTTTTAATGACCTAATACTTCAAAACACTATTTCTGTTATAATAATACATCATTATAGTCAAAATTAATACAAAAAAACTTACGTAAAACAGGTAATACTGTTTAAGAGAAAAAAAAAATAACACAAAAATCTGCTTATTTTCTCTTTTGCTATGCTCACCCTGCTAGCATTCCTCAGGGTCCTACCCTTGGCACCTTTCTTTTTCTTTGTGGGAAGAAACAAGAAAGGAGGCTGGTGTTGGTCTCTTCTCCCAAATTACTGATGATAGGGTGAGAGGAAATGGCCTCAAGTTGCACCAGGGGACGTTTCGATTGGATATTAGGAAGAATTTCTTCACTGAGAGAGTGGTCAGGCACTGGAACGGGCTGCCCAGGGGGCTGGTAGAGTCACCATCCCTGGAGGTGTTCAAAAAATGAGTAGATGTAGCACTTGAGGCTATGGTCTAGTGGTTAGGGAGATGTTGGGATGAAGGTTGGACTTGATGATCCTAGAGGTCCTTTCCAACCATAGTGACTCTATGATTCGGTGATTCCATCATTACTGAGTGGAATGGGTGCAGGGAGGTTATGATAAACTCAGCACCTTGAGGTCTTCACTAGGAGGAGCTGATGTTCATGACAAGGGTTTCTTCCCTCTGTTTACTGGGTGGAAGCATGCTGTTGATGCTCTCTCATCTTGTGTGTTTTGTTCAGTATGGATTAAATTTTCCCAAATTATTTTGTGGTTTTCCATCTTCTTTGTAGTCTTTATTGCTGTTTTTTTCCCCAGATCATGAGGTTGCACTCTTGCAGCGACTGCTGATTGACCACTGACACTGACTGTGTACAGTGTGGGATCTCTGCTATCATCCCTTGACTGCAACTCCTGCATACCACACTGGCAGTTTAATCCCCATAGGATACCTGCTTATTACTACTATAAATTAGAGCTGAACAAAACAACCTTAAGCAATAGTTATCTTGACTGCTGGTCAATTACTTTCAGAGCTAAACCTAAATCAGCTCAGGCAAGGCCAAGACAAACCCAAGTCCAGATTAATAAATTAAATATTTAAACATTATCATGTCTGCAGAGCATTCTTTTTAGTTAAATATTTAGCTTCCTTTAAAAACTGTTTTAAGGACATTGAAGTAATTGGAGTCTTGATTGCTTTCATTCCATGTGATAAATATGTGCTTACTGACGTTCCTTTATATACAACTAACATGTAGAATGAACTATTCTGTACTTGTCCTGGTTTTATATGGCATTGTGGGTTACCTTTAATACAATATTATATTTTTTCCTAGCTTACAAAAGAGAGTTTTAGTAAATGAAACTTTCCAGCCTAGTATTTTTCAAAGTGGGGATGGGAGTTCTGCTATTAACATGCAGAATTGAGCACTTTGGCACATGGCTTTGGGCCATGGAATTTGGATTTCTGGAAAACATCAACGTTTTTTTCATTCTCCACATCCTGTCATTTAGATTAAACAAGAGAAGATCAAGAGTTTAATTGTTTAGACTCTTCATTTGCTGAACAGAAGTAAGTTCATATCGGGTAGGACTTCCCTTGGTATGTTTAAAATAGGTTTCCGAGTTTTGGATAGTAACACCAAAGAAGTTGCTTTGTCCGTGGAGTTCAGTTACGATCATTCCTGAAATGAGTTCTGGAAATCTTTCTTAGTTCTAGTCAGACAATTGTCTACTCCACATATTACAAAAGCTTATCTTTTATCTTACAAACAAGCAGCCCCGCAGTTTCTTCCCCTTTACGTAATACCATGTCAATGTGGTTAAACATGGTATGATTGAGCCAACTTTTGGAACATCTCTCCTAGCCCTATAAACTCTTCAGCCACCAGTGCATGTGTTGAAGTTAAAAAAAAAAAAAAGCACAACCAACCAAACCAAACCAACCAACCAACCAAACCCAAAACCAAAACGAAACAAGA